CGGCACCAGGACTGACAAGGCCATAGTAAATGTCATAGACAGGATCAGACCTCGTGCTGCTTGCCCCAGGGTGCATGTATTCAAAGGGGTCCACTTGCTCATAGTAGCTCATCTCATCATCATTAAGCTTTTTGGAGCACTTGTAACGGAGTAGTTCCTGGGCCTCGTCACTGATGGGAACGCAAGATGGATCGGTGTGGTGCTCTTTACTACTTACACTATTGGAAGCAGAAGTGTTTTTTCTCCTCAACTCTTCTTTGGCTTTAAGCATAATGGGATCGAACACATCTAAGACACTGGTTTTTGTTTCTAAGGCATCTACACTATCCGTTAAACTCCCCCCCTTCCCCAAGTCAATGAGATCATCACTGTTGGATGCACTGACAATTCTTCCAGCAGTGGAGGCACTTATTGCTGGGTCTGGTATTGTTAACCCAGCAGTGGTTGGCGTCCCCACTGGGGAACCTTTTGCACCCTTAGGTATTGTCAGCTGACTAAACATATTTCCTACATTGTGAAGGTCAACCACTGGGCATCTTTGGGGCAAGGGTGGCATCACTGGTACTAACTGTCCAAGGCTACTGGGGTAGTTGAGGATAAGGTTACTAGTTGTAGGTTGCACTGTGGGTAACGTTGGTCTGTATGAGGTTCCTGTGGAACTATGGCTATAGTTGGGATATGAAGTTCCATTTTGAGTGATTGCTTGACACTGAGAGCCAGAAAACATTGGGGTCATGGCACCTTGATATGTTGTTAGACTTGCTGTTGGTCCCACAGAAGATGAATGGTGAGAACTGTATGATTGTCTACTTATACTGTGCACTCTGTACGTTCCCTGAGAAGTAGACACAGGTACCACTGACTTCTGGTTTGCATTAACAGTATGGAGATACTCCAGGATGTCGTTCTTTGGTTTCTCAGGGCTATTAAAGGATATCAAGTCTTGCTGATCATTACCACTTTCTGCAATTGTGCTGGTTGGGGAGGCATTACTGTTACTAACAGAAACCGATTCTGCAGCAATGAGTGAATGGCTGTACACGGAATGCGAGGCAGATCTTGACTTGACAGGTGCTTTAGGGGTGTTTTGAGTGAGGCTAATAGTGCGTGGCTTAGGTGTAGGTTGGGCTGGCTTGTTACCTGGTCGAGGCCTTGGCTTAACTTCTACTGGTCTACTGTGCCTTTCTGTAGGAGTCTGAGACCTCGGTGCATCTGAAAGAAAAGTTTTGTTTTTTCTGGTAAGAGTGCCCCAAGACTATCCACAAATATCAATGAGAAATTCCTGAATTTCTTCTACCTAATTATTAGAAATAGTTTTCATCATGACAAATTACCTTCTATAGAATTTACTATGTTACATCCTCTGGTACCCTCACTCACCATGGAGTCCATTCTCCCTCAGTGGAGCCTGCCTCTGAGAGTGAGAGCGCCCAAGCTCCCTTCTAATTCTCTCATACTCCTTGTTTTCCTCCTCCAAAGCCTTGGCCATGTCCTGCTCCGTGTAGCGCACACCTGTCGAAGACCTCATCTTGGGTGGCAGTGGGGGTGGTTCGTCTCCCATGGCAGCACAAGTGTACTCATTCACAGCCCTCGATCATCTGCAATGGTAGGCAAGATTTTTTTTTTATTACACATTGAATCTTTCTACATTACATTTCACCTTTGTATTCTACTCACACTAACACCTAGATTCCACTTCCCAAACTTAGTCTGGTCCCTGAGCCTCCTTCAGTCAAGGGTTAAGGAAATCAAGCCTAGTCATCCAACAAATTCTTCATATAATTTTCTAAAATTTATGGAGCTTATGACTATACTAAAAAGTGAAAAGAAATTTTTGCTTCATATCTAAGTAACAACATCTCAAAGGAAATTTACTAATGAATACTTTATATATAGATAATCTTTGAAGAATTTCTCTATACCTAAGTTTCTAAATATGATATATATTGCATCAGCTTCTTTAATGGCCAATTCTGCAACACAGTTAATCTTAAAGAATATTTTTCCTTTTATCATGTATAACAATATCATTACTATTGTATATTCTACATATCATCTTAACTTCATTATAACTTGTTATCATCATAACAATTGCATAATATATATATCATCTTCATATCAGTATTAGTATCATTAACCTGTAACATGTGCTCGACATTTTAACCCATTGCCGCCAGGGATGGCATGTACATACATGCCATGCCCACTGTAGGTCGACTTGTTCGATTGTTTTTACACATAGATGGCTACACTTGTACTAAGTATCCAATGAGCCAATTACGAGTACTGCCTGTCTCGCCCGTTCACCCTTTTTATCAATTTACGAAAATATTTAACGTTATCCTAATTTGCTGTTAAAAATAACACCATCTATATTCATAGCACTAGTAAGAATACGTTTTTTCCCGCCAATTCAAGGAAAGGTGAAATCAAGACTAGCAGAGCCATCTATGGACAGACATATTTCACAAAAATATGAAAAATGAGTACTGCATTTCCCCCATTTTCTGTTCATTTTCCCCCTGCGGCAATGGGTTAAGATACTACATGAGCCAGACATCTTGAGATGACAGATGTTCCAAGCTGCATCTCAAAAATTCCTGTAAAATCCTAACTAAAATCCCACTTTTGCTGACAACCTTAGAATAAAATTACAGGTTGAACAGTAGTACAAGGTAGTATGGTAATGAGAAGGGTAGAGAGGGAAAGCTGATGGGGTACAGTGTAAGGTAAAGGTTGTTAGAAGAGGAAGGAGCTTAGAGAGTAAGGAGCATTATAATAAAGTGTTTTGGCAAAAATGGCAAAAATGAGTTTAACAATTAGGATAAGTGGACAGACCAAGGGGCTGAAGAAAAGGAAAAGGAAAGGAGAAGAAAAGACCTTGCAAAATTAGTTGATCCAAGAGCTGAAGACCAAGGTAGGGCTGATCCCCATCATTGGGCCTCAGTCCCCATCTCTTAAGCCCCCTCCCCCTCCACAACAACAATTCAAGGGATGGGGGGGATGGGGGGTTTAAGGCTACAAAAGTGTATACAAACTACCATCTATAATCATCAGATACAGTACTGACCTGAACACAACTATGACAAAAGCATTTTTTTTTATATAGTTGAATTACATTATTTGCTTTTGGAAACAACCAACGCTTTTGTTCAAGAAATTCAGTTCCAATAAGAATAAGCACCATGAACACTAGTCACATACAACATAAACACTGCAACTTGAAAAAGACACACACACACACACACACACACACACACACACACACACACACACACACACACACACACACACACACACACACACACACACACACACACACACACACACACACACACACACACACAAACACACACACACAAACACACACACACACACACACACACACACACACACACACACACACACACACACACACACACACACACACACACACACACACACACACACACACACAGTTCAAGAGTCTGGTACTGTATAAGGTATGTCGTACTTATTAGGATTTATTTACAAGTATTCTTAATGTAAACAAAACTTTAAAACAATAGGAAAAAAGGTAATGGAGACCCAACTTTCAACATACAAACAAATCAACTTACAAACAGCTTCTCGGTCCCCATTATGTTCTTAAGTTGGGGACTTACTGTATATACATATATATACATATATATACATATATATACTTATATATACTTATATATATACTTATATATACTTATATATACTTATACACACATCTTACATACATGTGTGTGTGTGTGTGTGTGTGTGTGTGTGTGTGTGTGTGTGTGTGTGTGTGTGTGTGTGTGTGTGTGTGTGTGTGTGTGTGTGTGTGTGTGTGTGTGTGGGTGTGTGTGGGTGTGGGTGTGGGTGTGGGTGTGGGTGTGGGTGTGGGTGTGGGTGTGGGTGTGGGTGTGCGTGTGCGTGTGCGTGTGCGTGTGCGTGTGTGTGTGCGTGTGCGTGCATGTGCGTGCATATAAAAATTATATATATATATATGTGTGTGTGTGTGTGTGTGTGTGTGTGTGTGTGTGTGTGTGTGTGTGTGTGTGTGTGTGTGTGTGTGTGTGTGTGTGTATGTATGTCTGTGCATATGTGTATAAATGATGTCAATAATTTAGACTTAATAATTCCAATTTCCATCCGCTTCTTTTCTTTTTTATTTGGCCGTCATTTCTTTTTCCCTCCTATGAATAGTCTGGTACAAGCAAAGATAAACTTCTGCACTGCATATTGTGCATAGTTTCTGTACAAAGAAACCATAAAACGAAGACACAATCACAATTTAACACAGTGAAAAAAATTACGAATATCTGGTGAAAAATTCAATTATGCTACAATTTATCCAAGAAAATGAAATCTTCTGCTATATCTATTAGATTAGTGAACAGCATGAATGAAGTTCAGCATCTGTCATCACATACCCCCAGTAGTTCCCTAGACCCAAGAGTTACCAAGGTGAACACTTCTATCACTAGCCCCCCTCCCCCCTAAAAAAAATGTAATTGGAAGTTTACCCTACCTTGAATGGCGTTAAATTTTGACACTGTTACATACGCATTGGAAAGGAGAGAAAGATGGTGTACAAACTGTTGAAGGAAAGAATGGATGCACAAAGTGTAAATAATGAAGACAAAAAAATAGGCATGTGGTGCAGTAACATAAATGTTAACCCTCTCACTCTCCCTCCTCACCCTCACCCTCACCCTCACCCTCACCCTCAACCTCTCCCTCTCTCTATCCCTCACCCTCTCCCTCTCCCTCTCCCTCTCCCTCACCTTCACCCATACCCTCACCTTCTCCCTCATCCTTCCACTCACCCTCACCCTCACCCTCACGCTCACCTCTCCCCCCCGCTCACCCTCACCCTCACCCTCACACTCACCCTCTCCCTCCCGCTCACCCTCACCCTCACCCTCACCCTCACCCTCACCCTCACCTCACCTCTCAACCCCCGCTCACCCTCACCTCTCAACCCCCCGCTCACCCTCACCTCTCCCCCCCGCTCACCCTCACCCTCACCCTCACCCTCACGCTCACCCTCTCCCTCCCGCTCATCCTCACCCTCAACCTCATCCTCACCCTCAACCTCACCCTCACCCTCATCCACCCTCCCCTTCCTACTCACAATCACCCTCACCCTCACCCTCTCCGCTTCACCCTCACCCTCATCCACCCTCCCCTTCCTGCTCACCCTCACCCTCACCCTCAACCTCCCCGCTCACCCTCACCCTCACCCTCATCCACGCTCCCCTTCCTGCTCACCCTCACCCTCACCCTCCCACTCACCCTCCCACTCACCCTCACCCTCACCCTCACCCTCACCCTCACCTCTCCCCCCTGCTCACCCTCACCCTCATCCTCAACTTCACCCTCACGCTCACCCTCTCCCTCCCGCTCACCCTCACCCTCACCTCACCCTCACCCTCCACTCACCCCTCCCTCCCGCTCACCCTCATCCTCACCCTCACCCTCATCCACCCTCCCCTTCCTGCTCACCCTCACCTTCACCCTCATCCTCTCTCTCCCTCTCCCACCCCCCTCCCCTTTACCCTCACCCTCTCCCTCATCCTCCTTCTCCCTCTATTATGAAGGAGGGTAGTAATCTGGGTTACAAAATATCAATAGCAAAGTAATTATATGAAAATGAGGCTTAATGGATATTAACTACAGATAAAAAAGATATAAAACCTTACTTAAATGAACCCATTCTCCCCGGGCGATGTCTAATCCTGGGTCTCGATGACTGGGATGATGCAAACCCAGTGACCCGGGTAACAGCCCACTTGCGGAAATTATTTGAAGTTTTAGCCGTTATGAATGGTTAAGATTTCTTGGATGATGTAAAAATTGTTTTTTTCACAAATGATTCAGCAAGAAATGTAGAACTAAATCAATCTGGATCTATAAATGCACATTCAGTGATAATATTCATGACAATTATAATCAGATTCATCCAGAATACAAAGTTATAGAGAAAAAAATACAATGGTTACACAGATCACTTAAAACAACACTATAGTGTATAACAAAGAATCTCCGCAAAGTAAACATAAACTCATACTCCGCAACTCTAACCATTAAGCAAAGTATATCTCCTGCAAATGGCACTTAATTAATGGTCTGCTACAGTAAGCATAAAAAGTACCTCCTATAGTAAGAAAAAATTTGTAAACCTTCCTGGCAATCTATCAAAAAATAAGGAACCAGACCTAGCTCTATCCTGCTAAAATACACAAGGTGAAAGTTTGTTGGAAAATGATTCAGACAGCCACACCTCCACCACTATTGTAAAAACCAACTAATTTCCACCATGTATATTCTGGCAATATTGGGCTTATAGGCATCGCTGGTAATTCATTCTGGTAGCGATGCAGAATCAAAAGCATGGCACCAAAAGGAAATAGCCACTGAGAATACATGAAATAATACAATCTGATATGCTAAAAAATATGTTCTCTACTGAGGAAAGGCACACCCACAAGTACTCAACATTCACCATAAATCAAATTATTGCAAAGGCAAACATACAGAACTTGCAGGCAATGTACCATCAAATAAGAACATTGTCCATGCTCTATCCAGTCACAACATATGTCTCGATGTTCAACACCTTCGGTAGAATACAAAACATAGCAGTTAAGGCCTCAAAATGTAGCAGTTAAGGCCTCTCTCATATATCCAACTTTAGAAAACTACCTAGGTTGTTAAATAACGACCTGGTACAACCTCTACCTTACTAAATGAATAAGATTTGCTGGCCTTTCACCAAGCACAGAAGACACTGACACCTTGAAAGTCGCTTGTCACTAGGCCGACACCAGGCTAGACTAAGGATTATAGGCCTACTAGCAATGAGCAAGTTTTTAAGTACATTTTCACGTGCCAAACAAAACAAAAACTTAGAAGATAAGCAGAACAAAGACGGATACTGTGGAGAAAACATGGAACGAAAACAGAGCAGAGAGCCAATATAGATGCAAGAAAGTCTCATTAGGAAAGGCATCACGAGTGGCTTTAAAAACATTTACCGCCTGATTAAAGTCGGAATTCTTGACAGTGTATTTAAAAACCTACAAGAACTTTTTTTTTTTTCCCCAACTAATATACTTGGCAGTGGATTTTCCTAGCGTCTTTTCCTTTACTCATTTCAATCATATATTTGACATCTACATAATGTCTAGAGGTTTGTAGAGTCTAACGAATAAACTCTAACGAATAAACACGAAAATGAAGGAGAAAAAGAGGGAAAAAACGAAAAAACAACAACATTGAAATTCTTGAAAGGACATTATTATATTCAACAACTTGATCAAACAAGTCACTAAATCACTCCATTTTCCTTTTTTTCCTTCTCCTTTCAGCCTTACTTACCCCTTTAAGAGTCCCCGCGGCGGTTGATAAATACTCCCAATTTTATTTTATTTATTATTTATTATTTTATTGTTTTGGTCTGGGTCAGCTGTCAACGCGAGTCATGGAGTCGATAAGTCAAGGGGTGTATTTTAATCCCGATCCTCCATTTTCTAACGAGATATGAATACAGACATTAAAATAAAAAACATATTTACGGGGGGAAATATATATTCACTCTTCGAATAATGCTGTTGTTGTTGATGTGACGTTAAAAATCCATTCGGTTTTTGGGGAAGGAAAACGAAGGAAAAAGAGATTCATTCCGTCACTGACTTACGCCTTCCTTGCGTCTACGCCATCTTTAATAGGTTTCGTAGAAAACGGGATTCTTAGGGGGGACCTTTGTAATTTTTTACCTTTATTATTTCTTTCCTTTTCTTTCCTTTCACATAAGCCTTTCATGGTAATAGGTCTGAATATAATTGGGAGTTCTCTATGCTCAATTTTTCATAAGTCTAATGTATAATTAATGTAAGTGAGATCTATCACAGAAAACGGATGTTTATTGAAATGGCCGGTAATTGTATTTATGATACACATTTTTTCTTTATATTTTGGATATGTTTTTGTGTCGATATATTATATGACTATATTTATATATTCCGTGTTATTAAAGATTGGAGTTACTCTGAGAGTAATTCTATATTTGTGAGAGAGGATATCTGCAAGAGAAAGAACATCCGTTGTGTGTGTGTGTGTGTGTGTGTGTGTGTGTGTGTGTGTGTGTGTGTGTGTGTGTGTGTGTGTGTGTGTGTGTGTGTGTGTGTGTGTGTGTGTGTGTGTGCGTGTGCGTGTGTGTGTGTGTGTGTGTGTGTGTGTGTATGTGTGTGTGTGTGTGTGTGTGTGTGTGTGTGTGTGTGTGTGTGTGTGTGTGTGTGTGTGTGTGTGCGTGTGCGTGTGCGTGTGCGTGTGTGTGTGTGTGTGTGTGTGTGTATGTGTGTGTGTGTGTGTGTGTGTGTGTGTGTGTGTGTGTGTGTGTGTGTGTGTGTGTGTGTGTGTGCGTGTGTATGTGTGCAGTATTTTTTTTTCTTGCTTGGACACACCTTCGATCAAGTTCTACTTGTGTAAGACTATGAACATCAATTATGAAATTTATCCATGAACTATAGCAAAAATATATTTTCATCGAGAAAGGGCCGGAAACAGAAATACAATATGTCACAAATACAAGTCTCAAGAATAAATATATATCTTAGTGTTTTGTAAATAACCTTTTATATATATTTTATGAATATCTTATGATAGTCCTCATGATTTAAAAAATGTGACATCATGATCACATAAGAGGCGTGCCGCTTTTTCGAAATAACCAAACATGTTCGAATATAACTCAAAGGGAATTTTAATGAACAACTAAACTTCATTAAAATATAAAACCATATATGTAGACTTTTCCATCATCCATTCATCTTCTTGTTCCTCTCTCCATGGATCCCTATAAGCCACTGATTGACTGCGCAATGAATTTAAAAATGGACGAGGCCGCCACCGACCAAAGAAATTAACTCATTGTTGGTGCCAGTCTTAACCCCGCGTCCTTTGCTCAGATACCGATGGACATGCAATTAATATGGGTTTGTAGACGTCCAGGAAGATCGCCGTTGTATCGTATCGTACTACTGGACGTTACGCTACGACGATACGGTGTGCAGATACGCAACAAGTCTCCTTAGACCTGCGCAAAACACACACACACACACACACACACACACACACACACACACACACACACACACACACACACACACACACACACACACACACACACACACACACACACACACACACACACACACACACACACACACACACACACACACACACACACACACACACACACACACACACAAATAAGAACGAACACGAGAAACTAACAAACCCACACATACACAAGAAGTTACTATAAATAAAGAAGTACAAAATGAATAAACAGATAACTACTAGTTACATGATTTTAAAAAAAAATGAATGAATGAATGAACAACCAGTCGAATGAATAAACAACTGACAAACTTATAACATAAATACCTTACTAGCAATAGGAACTCAGTCGATCTCTTCGTGTTTAACTTCCGCCGTGCTTCGAAATTCTGAACAGTGCTCATCGAGTAGGCACTTATCGGCATCCTCCGGGCTTCCTTCATGAGCATATCCCGGGCGAGATTCAGCTACGTAGATCTGGCTTATCTTTTGATCAGGGAATTTGCTTCAAAGAATCCATCTCGACCTGTACAGAAGGCGACGACTTCATTTCCCAGGAGTTGCGGAGTAGTTTACGAGAACCAGTTCCCTTCGTCAGTCCAGTTCGTTCAGATTAGTGTTCAAAATCCATGAACAAATTTCGCTTGAACAAATATTGATTCATGACTTACTCTGGTTGGATGAAAATAAAATAAAATGCATGGATTAAACTGTGAAAGTTTTGTTCTTATCTTTTGTGTATATTTTATCAAGGGGTATCTCGGGATAGATGTGAAAAAGAAAAATGATAGATGATAACAACAGTAACAGTAAGGACAAAATGTTGCTTCTATGTTACTGTTGTTACTGTTGCAGATGCTAGTAATTTTCGGAGAAACATGTA